TGTGGACAGAAGTCTGACTACTTTTCCTATTTTTCCAAAATCTTTTCAAAAGGGGACTGGGGAAGTCATGCCCACAAACATTAACAGACCATTTACTTTCTATTAACAGGATTCTTCCTACCTCCTGTCCCTGGCATAGTATCTTTGAGATGTATATTTCAACTGATTACAGTATATTCTTTTGCTTATCTTTTCCCAAGACACAGAACTTCGCTTTTCATTGAGATGTAGATTAAGCTTTTCTTTAACCAAGACACAGATCTTACCTTCCAATCACCAACCTAAGAATTGTGGAACCTACCTATAACCTACAAGCCCCCCTGCTTCTACATGTGCTGCCTCTTTGGGCCAGACCAATGGAAAATCTCTTCATGAAATGTCTGTGGATCTCAAAAGCAAATAAAAGGAACCTCTGTACATGATCACCCCGAGATAAGGTATGTATGCCTCTTCTCCGGCCTAGGTCACTCACAGTTGGCTTGGAAATAAACCGCATTAATTATTAATTATTAATTTTACAGCTGGTTATTTTTTCAATTGACAATAATAAAATTAAATAGATTATTCTTTAAACAAGCAAGGCATTCAAGAAACTACTGCATGGTAATGTTTAAAAAGGATCCCCAAGGGCAATATGCAAGCAAGACTCAAAAAAAAAAAAAAAGGAAGCAAGTAACTGAAGTCTTAAGCACTTTGAGACAAACTATAAGTACTCTAATGAGTGGGTTTATTAGGTGTTAGGATAAGGAGGGCCCCTAGAACAGCTTACTTTGTAATATTTATCAAACTCAACTACATGGGTCATGAGACTCACAAACAAAACAAACAAAAAAACAGGAAAACAAAGCTAAAAGTATCAAGTTGGAGGTGACCTTTGGAAACATATTTTGACTAAACAAAGGATCTATTAATAAAACAAGATCAAAGGGGACTATGGTAGGCTAGACAGTGTGGTGGTTAAGGTGGCCAAATCCCACATAACGAACCACATGGTTCAAGTCCTGGACACTGTGGCTTGAAAAACAGGCTGAGTCCATGTGCCTGGCTGCTCAAAATGCCCAGAGGAAAATGGAGAAGGGATTGGAGGTGGTCATGTCCCTTTGAGGAGTGCTTTCTTACTTTTGGTCTTCAGTGAGCCCCTGTGCCTGCCCTACAGCAAATTAGGGAATAAAAGGGGTACAGCGGGGCAGAGCCCTGGAAAGGAGACAATGCCTGCTTGCCCTCCCTGATACTGGCCTGTTCTATGGAACTTACCTCTATCAACAACCCCTGTGGCCTTCTGCCTTCCTCGACGCTGGTCCATTCTGTCTACAGCGCCTAGTTCTCGCAGCCTGTTGCCTTGTCCTTCAGTTCTCTGTGAGGGAAAAACATTGACACGTTTTGGACCTAACAGATTTAACGAGGCAGACACTTCCTGTTGTAGTTTTTTGTTGAGGTGTGAGGATTTGGCAACACTAACAGCTCGCATTTACTGATGCCTTACTGAGGCAGGTACTAACTTAAAATAGACAGTGACCTCAATCCTCAACAACTGTTATTTTTGCTAATGCGACAGAGTTTCTGGCTCCCAGAATGGGAACACCAAAGCCTCTGTGTTGTCTATAGTGACTGTAGGAAGCAATACACCTTAAATATTAGCTGTACCTTACACGATTATACTTTGGGGAAATAAGGAAACTGCGGGGGAGACGGAACAAGGACAGCTTGGCGGTCCATCCCAATGTAATGTCTTAATTCCAGGGCCTGCAGTATCTAGTTAAAGCAAAGAGGCTAGTTATCTAACATTTACAATGCTTAACAACAGAACCTGGAATGCGCAGACAGCATTAGCACCATCAAAGGGGAAGATAGTAAGGTCAATGGAGCATGAGCCTAGGGCTCAGGAGAGCCCAGACTGAAGCCAGAAACTTTATTGGCCATAATCTGCTAAAGATAGAAAGGGTAAATAAGCCAGCATCCAAAAACATAAGAGCCATACGTTAGGTTTATTTTCTATACACAAAATAGAAACTTAAATCACCTGATGAGACAATACCTTTGGAGAAAAAAAAACACAAAAAGGTCTGTTCCTCCTCCTAACAAGGATAAAAGGCATGAAACTTAGCCCCTCAGCAACAACCCACTATGGGACCCCCTCTCTGTCCTTAATAAAACTCCTGCTTTGCGACTCCTTTGTCCATTAATTCTTCTTGAGTGAGACAAGAACCTGGTCAGCTTGCCGCTGAATTCCGCACTGGTGTTGGCGTGGTCACTCCAAACTCCGGCATCACTAACACACTTCGGTATGTCAGGCCAGGGTTGTCCACACTAATGCATGACACTGCTTCTAGAAACCCACACTGCGCACAGCTGGGCAGCAGAGAAGGCCACCGTGATTCACAGTAAGAATGAAGCGCATCGCTAGGGTGGACGGATGAACAGCTTGACGGGCACAGTCGACATGGCACTGTCACTCCGGTCGTTTTCTGAGGCCTGAACCCTGAGCCTGGCAGGCACCGGGTGAAGGCCACACGTGGAGACCCCGGGTTCCCGCAGAGGGCAGCCTGACGCTGCAGACGCGGGCCCAGGCCTTTCAGCCGGGGCGTGGAGAGCGGAGCTGCCACCTCGCCCGCCCTGCGGCGACCCTCCCGCCGGACCCCATTAGCA